AATGGAGCAAAAAAAAAAAAAAAAAAAAAAAAAAGGCCGCACTGTAATATATTCAACATCTGGAGGTACATAGGCAACCCTCCTGCCGTTTGCTGACGTGGAGCTTCCCCACACGTCAGCAAGTTGCAACTTGCTGACATCGCGCACTGCTGTCAATGGCAGGGATTGGCAGATTGGTTGAAGCCTAAGAACAAGGAAAATCATACGAGAGGGAAGTCCTCATCGGCATCACAGAGCAGTCAGAAGTCTGCGCCAGCACCGGGTAGGCGTTTGGGTGACCTGCGCTGACAGCAGGGCAATCTGTTCCCAATTACAACAGCAAATCATCAAGAAGGAGGGTGTTGAGATTCAATACCAAGTCGAGCGCTGATGATGATCAACAGCTTAAACCACCAGTATCGCGGTCATATATTGGCCGGGGGAAAATATCAACTTAAGCAGAATCAGATGAATTTGGTCGCTTCTTTCGAGGCCCATTTATCCGAGCGCGGCTGGGTGGTGTATGCGCCGCAACTTTGGGGGGTACTGGTGGTTTAATCACATGTGCTCATATCCCAGTGCAATATGTGTATCCAATTATCAGCCAATCACTGCAAGCTGGCAATCAAGACACCACTAGAGTTTAAAGGCCACCACAGCTGCTTCGTCAACACTGCTGTGCGAAGCCGGTGATCTACCCTTGACGTTCGCTAAGGGTATAGCCAATACTATAGAGAAACCAGTCCTTCAAGTTCTATAATGAGAGCTTGCTTACATGTGCTATATTTGCAATTCAGCACTCAATATCTAGCCACTACTATGCGGACATCATGATGATGGCCGGACACAAGAAATTAAGTGTGGCCGTCGAAGCATACAGCATCAACCTTCAGATTCTGGCGAGACCTCGTGTGGACTTGTGTAGTAGTAACTCACATCATAAGCCTTGAGCCACATGTACACGGCCCCAGCCTTGCAGTCCGAAACTTGTCGCCACAAGAAAAAAAGGAGGCCAAAACGTCAAACGCTGGGCCTGGCGTTGATAAATTGGATCGGCGGTCACGTTTTCGACGTTTCGCGCTTCCAGATTTCGAGCTCAGGTGTCAGGCCCGCGGCCGAGGTGGCCATGTACTGGTGCTGGGCTCATGTACTGGCTAAGGGTATAAAGCGGGTACTGGTTTATAACCTGGGCGCATGTACTGGTTTATAACTTGGGCCCATGTACCGGTTTATAACCTGGGCCAGGGTATAAAGCGGGGCTTGATGCCGAGAACGACTCGTTTGGGGTTAGTCGTGACGGTGTAGGCTAAGGGTATATCCATTTTCATCGGCAAACCAGCCTGAGTCCTTTGTAATGAGAGCATGCTTACATGTGCCATAAAATGCCAATAATTGCCATGCAGCACTGCATACCTGCCTCCACCGTGACGACACAGACATGATTGCCAGAAAGAAGAGACAAAGTGTGCCTATGGAAATCTCTACGACATCAACTTTCGCATTTTGGCGAGACCCTCCTGGGTGGACTTGTCTAGTCACCGGAGAGCTAACGAAGAACTATTCCTTCCCTGTCCTTCCTGCAAATGACAATTACAGTGCTCTCCTTGTGTTCCATGACAACGACATGTCCTCCCCATGCTGAGCTGTTCACATACTTGTGTTTCGATCGACCATTGCTATCACAAGTGAGCCACCGGTGCCCATCAGGAAAAGCTTATGTGTCAAATATGAAGAAGCAGAGTATGCGAGCCCTTTTCGTGTACATGTGTGTGTGTGTGTGTGTGTGTGTGTGTGTGTGTGTGTGTGTGTGTGTGTTGGGGGGGGGGGGGGGGGGGGGGGGGGGGGGGGGGGGGGGCATAGGTGTGTGGATGTGTGCATGTGTTGGGAGGCAGGTGGGCAACTAATCAGCAGGGCAAGCAGCAGGACAGCACCATGAGAATCAAGGAAACAAGGCCCCGAACGACAAGCAACAGCAAGCACATAGACCGGAGGGCACAGGGCAGGCATGTTCGCAGCCAACAGACAACGTAAGCAGTATGGTGGCACTATGTGCAGCAGGCAAAAAGGCAGTGGGACCACAAAACGGCAAGGCAGCAAGGCAGCAAGGCAGCACCTGCAAGGCCGTCCACTCATACACCACGAACAGAGCCGAATATCACCTACTCAAACCACGAGTAGAACTCCACAAGCTGTACTAGGTTCACACCACCATCATAGCCACAAGTCGCACATGTTTGTCGTCACCCAGGGAGCACACTGACACAAGAATCCAAAACAGAGTAGGCCCCCCAATAGTGTTGCAGGTGCTCCGAACAAACAGGCAGCGACTGTTTGGCACATCTTCTGGGCTTCCACTTAGAAATAGGCCGAAAAGACCAGAGAACTCAAGTGGATAGCATAAGTGGATAGCATTGTTTTGGGGGACATGGGGTTAGGGGCACAGGGGGTTAGGTGGTTGTCACTGTGGGTGGACGTCACTGTGGGTGTTCTGACGCCGTTCTTTCACACCACCATTCCAGTTGAATGTTGGCAGAAAAGAGAACGGAAAAGTTGAGCAAGGCTTGAGTTCTTGACTGTTTCCATCTCTTTTTCCTTAAAAAAAAAAAAAAAAAAAAACACTTAAAAAAGACTGTTTGCATCTCAATGTTGGCAGAAAAGAGAGTTGTGCAAGGCTTGACTCACTTGACTGTCCTATGCACCATTTGATAATGGCTCTATAAACCACTCTAAGAAAAAATAAAAAGTGAATTGCACAAAAAAAAGGCGGGCACTTTTTTTCTTTTTTTTTTTGAAAAGGATGCTCCGATCTATTTGTGGGGAGCAGCACGTGCTGGGAACCGGGGGCCAGATTCCCTTATGAAAATTGTACATCTTTTGAACAGGCAATCATCAGAACGTAACCACTAACTTCCATAATAATCTTGAATTACCTGGGGCCGGTCACCTGTGGACATATCTCAAGACTGCTGCCCCCCCCCCCCCCCCCCCCAAAAAAAAAAAAAACAGCAGGCAATCACACCTTACACCACCGGTACCTTTCTCAGCTATCAATGCCGAGCCAAAAATCCCCTGCGCGCCAAAGAAAAACGAACCGGCACGGGCCTCATTTTGGCTGGCGCCACCCGCCATTTCGGTCTGGGAGTGCCGATCCCCGCTTGCTGCTGAGTGTACCGGCCCGTATTTGATTTTACAGCGGGGAAAGGTACTGGTGGCGTAAACCACCTGTACCTTCTCATGTATCAGCCTCAGGCCCAAAATTGCGCTGCGGGCGCTAAAAAACGTTTCCACAGGGTTGCACCTGCCATTTAGCAGGCCTGTACCTCCGTGTTAACTGCCGTGCTTTTGTTTTTCAAGCGCAGAAAGGTACTAGTTGTTTAACAGGGATTTTTGATATACCGACTGAGGGCGTACTCACAATAGAAGTATCTCAAATGTATCTGACCGCATTCACGCCATCCCTTGATGTATCTGGCGACAGTTCCATCCCAAAATACAAAAAAAAGTAGAGAAACTAGGACGCGGTCACAGTTCGAGTTTCTAAATGCAGTGAGAATAGAAGGCCCGGAGGTCGGCAGGCGCCCGGTAGCGCTTCGGTGCGCTAAGTTTGCGCTAATTCAAGATCGAATGTAGCACACCGGGGTCCGGCCGACGCTTGACGATGAAGTGGGTTCATCGAGTCCTGTGGCCACGAATTGTGGAAAGATGAACGCCCCGATTGGAGGGAGGTATGGCGGCGCCATATCCTCGGTTGTCCATACCCTAACCTGCTCCTTGATTGGAGAGGGAGTGCCCTGCACTCAGGGTATGGGCCCCACTCGGTCTCCTCTGGCTTCCACCTTCCACTTTACTCAAGTAATGGAACTTTTACCGCAGAAAATGACGAAGGCCAGGTTTGGAAGAAGATCTTTGCTCGTTCCTGCAGTGGCAGGCGCGAGTCTCCGACGCGGCGGATGTGAAGTATGGCAGTAGCGTCTATGCTAGCGGTGGCAGAGCCAGTATGGGCGGTGGGAGTGCTGTCGCCAACACCAAGGATACAGCGGGGTACAATAGTTTCAGGGTCCGCACCCGGGCATGGTTGTTGGTAGATGCATTTGTTTGAGTTTTTTTTTTWAGGTGTTGTATTGAGCTGTACTCGTTGGTTAGATTCATAGACTTAAGGTTACTCTATCSAMATGGGGTTCTCTTTGAGGTAGCACAGAAGGYRCAACCAAGACAGCAGGGTCATGGAGTGGAAGTGGTTTAGGGCGAAACTCGCGGGACTACCAGTAGCAGTGCCTCGAGAAACAGTGAGAGTGCGACGAGAGGTAGTGGGAACTCTACTGGCGTGGAGGTAAGAGAGACCTGGTAAAGAGCAAACTAGAGTTGTATCCATTGGGTGCGTGGTGAGAAACCCGTCTAGGCAACAAAGGCTCTTTACAGCGCTTTGGACAGTGATGATGAGAGGGCAGCCTTGATACTGACGAGGGACTAGTTGTTATTGGGTGGAGGTCTACAAAGTTGGGGGTTATCTATATTTTTGGTTATAATTACTAGGGATTTTTGTGGAAAATGTTGACCTCGTTTTTGCTGTTTTCTAGGCAAGAATAACCTCTGTGCTGCTGTGTTTCTGGCCGTATTTTGTGATGTAATGTAAAGAGCTCGGATACAATACCGGGCTGTAGTATTGTGGGCGTAGGAATTTAGTCTATTTTTTGGTAATAGTCTATTCTTTGGTAATATTGACCTCGTTTTTGGGGTTATTTTCTAGGTTAGCATAATCTCTGTGCTGCTGTTTTTCGGTCGTATTTAGGGCACTGTCACTCTTAGTGTTTCGTTGTTAGAAACATGTAATCGTGGTGGGAAACCCGTCTCGGCAGCTCAGGCTGTTTACAGCGTATTGAGTAGTAAGGATGAGAAGCTTACCCGGACAGAATCGAGGGAACCATTGTGGGAGAGGTATGTASTWGGTATGTAGTTTCATTTGGTGGGTCATAGTATCCATAGTTTTTGTGAGAAGAAAGTACAGTGGTTTATGACCGGACATGAAGGAAATCTGGTGATACGCGTGGAATGGCTACTGTAGCGACGCCACCTTGTCCAGTGGGAGTGTAACAAGGGGCGGTGGGAACGTTACCGGTTAGATGGCACGAGAGAACCGGTGAAGGGCAAACTTGAGTTGTACCCATTGCGATCACGAAATTAAGAAGATCCAAGGGTGCGTGGTGGGAAACCCGTCATGGCAGCTCAGGCTCTCTACAGGGTGCTGGGACAGTGTGGGTGAAAGGGTAGCTTGCCACAGCAACCCATACGTGTGAGAACAAGGCAATCCTTACTCAGTTCAGGATGAAACCCACGGAATTACTAATAGCGGCGCCATTTTGAGCAGTGGGAGGGTATCAAGAGGCAGTGGGAACGCTATTGGTTAGGTGCTCAGAGAGAACCGGTGAGGAGCAAACTTGAACTGTACCCATTGTGTCCGCAAAAAACGAAGGTCCAAGGGTGCGTGGTGGGAAACCCGTCATGGCAGTTCAGGCTACTTACAGGGTGGTGCAGCAGTGAAGGTAACAGGGTCATCCCTGTAGCTGTCAGAGGATCAGAATCGGTTCAGTCAATGAATGGCTGTATAACTGAGTTTACTTTTGGAGATTGGTTGGTCTGAAAGGC